TTGGATATCAGGTAAATCCTGGTGAAGTCCAGGGAAGGCCTGTCAAAGTTCAGAGAAGTTCTGCCGACGTTCAGGGAAGGTCTGCCAAAATTCGGAAAAGTCCTACCGAAGTTCAGGAAAGTCGTACCATTTCAATTATTGGAAATCAGGTAAGTCCTGGTGAAGTTCGGATGTCCTGCCATTTCAATTATTGGAAATCATGTAAGTCCTGATGAAGTTCAGGGAAGACCTGCCGAAGTTCAAGAAAGTCCTACCATTTCAATTCTTGAAAATCAGTTAAGTCCTGATGAAGTTCAGGGAAGTCCTGCCATTTAAATTATTGGAAATCAGGGAAGTCCTGATGAAGTTCAGGGAAGCCTGCCGAAGGTCGGGGAAGGCCTGCCGAAGTTCAGGGAAGGCCTGCCGAAATTCGGAAAAGTCCTGCCGAAGTTCAAGAAAGTCCTACCATTTCAATACTTGGAAATCAGGTAAGTCCTAGTGAAGTTCAGGGAAGTCCTGCCAAAGTTCAGGGAAGGCTTGCCGAAGTTCAGGGAAGGCCTACCGAAGTTCAGGGAAGGCCTGCCGAAGTTTAGAGAAGTTCTGCCGACGTTCAGGGAAGGTCTGCCGAAATCCGGGAAAGTCCTGCCGAAGTTCTGGGAAGGCCTATCGAAGTTCAAGAAAGTCCTACAATTTCAATTCTTGAAAATCAGGTATGTCCTGGTGAAATTCAGGGAAGTCCTGCCATTTCAATTATTGGAAATCAGGTAAGTCCTGATGAAGTTCAGGGAAGGCCTGCCGAAGGTCGGGGAAGTCGTACTGAACTTCAGGAAAAGTCCTGCCATTTCAATTCTTCAAAATACCTCCATCAAATAGGCTGCAATTTTCACAGAATATCCTCAAATACTTGTGAAACAGCTTGTGAAAATTGAGGATCAATTTGGTTCAAAAAATATTTCATTTAGCAATGGCAAAGGTGGGTTTTCTAGAAAAAAAAATCGCTTCTCTGTTTTGTGCGAGCACATTGTTCTTCCAGCTGGAGACTGCTTAGGCACAGATACATGTAAAAGCCGGTTGATTGCTTAGGAAAACAAAATCTAATGCTTGGGGTTGCGTTACAAAAAATTGTTTGTATTGAAATAATGCATTTTACAGGTAGGGGAAATGACGGCTTCGGCATGACATACTATTTTCGGCAACCCAAATTGAAACACTATTTTCGCTGAATGCATGCAAACGATTCTTTATGCTTTCAGCTTAAATTTGACTATATTTTTACAACTGAGAAAAAGCAATATAGCAAGGTTTTCTTGAAATGAAACACAAATTGTAGCTGATTTCTAGTTTCCGATAATAGAACAGCAGATTTACATGCAGTTCAAATGGAACGGTTGCCGAAGAAAAACTGGTTGCCGACAATACTCGCTCTCACTAGAGAAGATTGGAGCTTTGTAAAAGCGTTTCAAAACAGTTTTTGACAATTCTTTCGACTGAAATTGTTAGAGCAGCTGGCAGCAAAAGATTGTAAACAAACCAATACTGCATATGTGTGCGTTCCATAGAGAAAAAGGCTATAGAAAGAAGGTCGCTACTTAGGTTGCCGAGAATACGTAAATTCCCCTATATTGTCTTCGGAGGAAACGTTCCTAACAATTTTTTGAAACGATCCACGGAAGTCAAATATGACCTTTCATACTAAATACTTGTGTAATTGATGAGCAAAGCTAGCGACCACTATGATTGTGGTCCTAAAATTGAGCTTACAAAATGGTTTAAAAAAAAAACTATAAATTAATTTTGTAAAAATTACTAGAGATAGCAATTTAAGAATTTTAATTTAGCACGGATTGTTTTGTAAAAATCCATCAAGTGAGTTATTCTGAACCAATCAACTTTCACTTTAAGTTAAAAATATTAATTCCACGGAAAATAGACACTATTCTCGTGATCAACAGGTTTTAGGAAATTAAATTCCAGCTTTCATAAAAATAGCTTTATCTTTTTTAAATGGAATACTCCAAATGGCTCCAAGATCGCATCAATTTATTGATGTTCGTTTCGCAATTTTTAAATTTCTTTTGATTACGCGTGTTTTGTTCGAACACCGACTGAGAGTATTTAGAAAACAAAGAGATCCGCGGAAAAAACATTGGAAGCTTGGACTGAGAAAGTTGCCGACGATTACTTGAGATAATTTCTAGATTTTGAGACTAGACTTGAACTTTTCGAGATTTCAGACACCGAAAAAAAAAAATAAAAATATCAAATATGGCGTAGTTGTCAAGATCTCAGATTAAGAAAAAATCATTGCTTGGACAAAATTTGAAGTTATGTTTAGAAGTTCCAGGTAATTTTGATAAGTATTTCGAGAAAATTGTGAGGAGAAATAAAGGTAGAACAGGTGAAGAGACTATTAACAACTGGTGGAAACTAACGATTTAAAATTGGCTCACTACTTGACTAGCCTATTGGTTCCAAGCAAATCGATTAACGTACCCCATTCTAGTCGAAATTCTAGTGCTACACAATGTTTGTTTTCATTCTCTGTGAAAGTTTGACAGATGAAATGAGGGGTTCGTGGATTTTCCTATTTTTCAAGGGGTGCATCGATTAGCTTGGGACCGAAGAGAGTACCAGAGCTGAGCCAAAAAGTTGAGCCCGTTCTTCGGGACCATCTAGTCTTAGAGTTACCTCTATGCTGTTACGGCGATTGTGATGCGAATTCCAGAGAAATCTAGAGCAATTCAAATGGATTGTTTAGCAAATCTGCAAAGAATTCAGACTAGCATTCCAGGAAGATTCGGAAGAGTGTTGCAAGATAAATCTAACTCCAGAATAGTTCCATGGAAATTCTAAACGATTCTGGCAAGGTAATTTTGAGGACAATCGCATGGGATTCTGATGTGAATTCCAAGGTAATTTTGGGGAAATACTTAGGGAAACCTTGGGTGAATTCCAGGAGCAGAATATTTCCTACATAATTATGAAAAGAATTACAAGAAAATTTTGAGGTTAACTTTAATGGAATTCTGGAGGAGAATCCCGAGGTAAGGAATGGAGAAGTTTTCTAGATTCTACGACACGAAATCGAAGTTAACCAAAACTCTGAGTGTCTGAGGCTAGAATTTTGATAGGATTCTCACTAGTTCATTTAGAAAAGTTGTCAATCTTATAAAACTCTGAGACACTGCTAATTTGTTTAGATCTCAGACATGATTTTTGATATCTCGTACTAAGGCTGTGTTTCATTTGGTGAATTTTCACTTGAATTTGATACTTCGAAAATAAACTGATTCCTTGTCAGTTAGAAACAACTTTGCTAGAATAGCAGGCATATTTAAAAAAGAATTCATCTGTCAAATTTAGGTGAAAATTTACCAAATGGAGCACAGCCTAAGGGCCTAATTTGGGGATTCCAAAGCTTGAAGTAATATTCAAAATACACTTTTCTATTAACAGAATTCGATTGATAAAGGTAAAAGCAACCATATTTTAAGCATCAAATCGAATTCACGGTTATTTCCCAGTTCAATGGCCACCCTTGATTCAGAACATTTTCCCTTATTTTGCGCGGTGAGATGAGGTGACTCGCTGTCACTAGCGAGGTAACTCTCCGTGCAAATCAACTGTAGTCTGCTCACTCGCGGCGCAGAATAGGCCTAATGGTAAAAAACTCGCTAAACTCTAGCTCTATTTTCATGATATCTCGATTACTTTTTCGAAGTGACGTATCAGCCTATTGTAAACAATGCATTTTTTGATCGTCGGTTTGGCGAAACTGGTAGCTCGCCCACGTATCACAAGGTATCAGAAGGTAGTGTTAGCATTCGTGGGCGAGCTACCAGTTACGCCAAAACGACGATCAAATGCATTGTTTACAAAAGCTGATACGTCACTTCGAAAAAGCAATCGAGATATGACCAATTTATGACCACGTCAGGTCTTAATAGTGAGTCCATGGTAAACAGGCATTGTTTTCGTGATCCTTGACTTTTATGGAAATATCGAAACGTTCTAGTACCTGAGGTCATATATGATGCAATTACACCATATGTTCTGTAATACACATGAAAAGGTGTTATGGAAAAAGGGATCGGTAGATAAGCTCTTCTCTCATTTATAGGGAGCTAGAGCGGATTCGAGTCCCACATCTCAGCCTCAAGTCAATGGGACCACGGTCAATCGATACCGCAGAAAAGCTCTTCCGAAAGCGACACAATTTAACCGAAACGAGCTTGTAAGATTTTGAGGGAGATGAGACACAATAGATAGCGAACATTTTTCCAGAATCATTCTTGACGAATGGACATTCCTTTGACTGTATTACGTCCCTACTGGGACTTTGCACCAGTCGTCAACTTAGTGTGCTTTGAGTACTTCCACAGTTGTTACTTGTGAGCTTGTACCATTTTTGCATTAGTTCACACTTAAGCTGGGCTTAGACTAGGCAAGTCAAATGATCAACTCAATTGAATTCAATTGGCTTGAAAAGTTGAACCTGGTTTAACTTTTTTCAATTCAAGTGAGTTGATCAAGTCAGTTGAATGGCATGGTTTACACGTTCAAATCGCGTTCAAGTCAGTTGAATTCCACTAAGTTGATCATTTGACTTGCCTTTCTATACCCAGCTTTAATCCAGCTCGGTAAAATCTCCAACAGCCCATTACCTCGGCATTTACTTTAGCTGATATATCTGCAAAATCTTATTTGTTAGCTGAGTCTCGGCAATTGTTTTACTGAATCTCAGCAAAATAAATTGCAGAACTACCCGGCTGTTGGAATGTCGGCAAAAAAATTTAAGTGCGTATAATTGCGTGGCAAATACAATCATACTCTATGCCAAGAGAAGTCAAAAAAAAAAATCCTAGACCGTACCAATAATTGAACCCAGCCTCCTCCAGCATGGTCTTGCTTTATAGCTGCGCCTTTATCGAATGGGGAATAAGTTAAGAACTCCCCGAACACACCCCTCGGGATCACGGATCAGAAATCGATATAAAATAACGTAAGAACCCGGTACTCACCTAAATCTAAGGTTACTATTGTTAACGTGACTGTTGTGAGCGTGATGTTCCGCGATGGTGGGCAGGTACGAGGTGAGCTTGTCCGTCGGACGCAGCACCTTCATCGTGCGGGACGACAATTTCCAGACCAATCGCTGCTTGTACGGCATCTTGTGCTGGCCGTTGTACTGCGACAGAATCTTGGCGACAATACTGTGACTGTAGAAGAAGCTACTGTCGGGGATCTGCAAGAGGTAGAAAAATTAGTTGACTGCATTCAATTTGCGAAAGAAAAAAAAACTACACCTACCCGACAGAACTTTTGTAGCTGGATCGCGTAGTCCACGAGGTCGTGGATCTGCTGGTTGTACAGCCCTTGTTCCTTGTTCGCGCTGACGTGAGCATCCATCTGGGTGAAGATCATGACCAGGGCCAGCTCCGACGGACGGATGCTGGCGCAGCTGGCATCGCATGCCAGAATCTCCAGACGCATTTCCAGGTCGGCCAGCGAGACGGCAGACGAGAAGATGTCCGTCAACCCGAGGGCGTTCGCGGCGTTCTCGAAGATGTAGTAGAACAGCCGAATGAACGAGAGAGCTGTCACCGGGGCGCTGTTCATCTGGACACCGAGCTTGTTGGCTACAATGTCCGCCATACGCACTAGATCACGTGACGTGCAACGGCACTGTTGGAAGAAAGGGATGTAGAAAGGAAGATTAGAAAACACGTGCTTTTTCGCTGCCCGCGTTGATGTCCCATGTGCAGCTAAATTTACGCCATCGTCCGCGTTTAGTCATGTACTATAGCGCACATTGCTCGTCGATGTGAGGTTATGTCGTCAAGCGCGATGAGTCCCCCCCCCTCCTAAGATAGTCGTACAGTAGTAGCCCGCTCCTCACCATCGTTGGAATTTCAAAACCTCGCAATTCAACGCCGCAGCATATGAAACGAAAGTGAAAATAGAAATCGATGAGCGCGCGAGCATAGTATGCGCGCTGGTAACTAAGTACACGTGTGTGCAAACGCTACGCACTTTGAACACGCTGTCTCGTCGTGAACAGTAGGCTTCGCTTCGCTATCGCAGCAAGTCATGCTCGTCCGACGATAGTGGTGTGGCGGAATAGATTACCAAACCAAACAGTTCGCTTAGGTAGGGTGTTTGATCTAATTTCCGTCCTACATACAATGCGCTTTAATAGGCTTTGTGTTGAGGCTTATGAGCTAAAATAGCTTCGGGGAAAAAATTATAGAACGAAAATAAGCGATTACGACGAAGCAGCGCTCTACCCTATTACGCATGGCTGAAAAGTTGATATGGATACATATAGGCTTGCTTTAGTCAGTGGGGTCTTATTTTGAGCGTTGGGAAACAATCGAGCTTGGACTATCTTCTGGCGGTGATCAACGAAATTTATTTGCTTGTTTTGTCTTACTTGCGCAACGGACGCTACGCAGCATATGGAACTGTGAACACCTACGAAACGTACTGCTATTCAATCAGGCATTCCGTCGATTCTTCTGCTCATTGAAATACGGCAAAATAAAGAAAAATTAAACATTCATGACTTGAAAACTGGTTTTACGTTAAAAATAGCCCCAATGGGAAGCGAATGCTTCGAGACCTTGAAGAGTACGAAGCTTCCTTTCGGTTGAAGCTGAACAGTTTTGCGGGTTCCCGTTTTAGGAATTTTATAACGACGCAATTAAACGCAACCAATGAGCTTTGAGCAAAGCAAAACCAACCTCCATCAATGGTGGCAGGCTGTAGAGACAAACACACACACACACACACACACACACACACACACACAACTATTAAACTTGATAACGACGAATGGCAGCCAAAACGCAACCCCACATGCATATGTTTGAGCAGAGGCGTGTTTTGGTGTCCAATTTCATCAACTCTTCAATAATAAAGAGATCGGATCATTGCTCTTCTCGCAGGCACGTCATTTGGAATTTCCGATTCCAAGGTGAGGTCGCTTTTGAAGTAAATACTATCGACTGTGGAACGCAAATTTGTGGAACAATTACTACAAAACTCGGTAGGCTAAATTTGAAGAATGGGGATTTACTCTCAATACTTCAAGTTGATTAAATGTGCATTTTTTTAAATTATAACACAGAATACGATTTAATATGTCTTAAATATTGCTTTCTGTGCAATACTTACAACATGCTAACAAAAATTTAAAATGACCAAAAGTTCTTGTTCTACGGTTTTTGTCAATTTTTAAGTGCCCAAGGTTATCAATATTTAAACATTTTAAATTTAAAAAAAAAAGTTATAAATAATGAACAAGGACATTTCGATTTATTTAACCTTTGTTTTACACAAAGTTACAAAACAAAACACCGGGAATATGTGGCAAAACAGACTTAATTTTACTGTGATTTGGATGGGGAGAGTGGAATTGCCAATTGCTGCTAACATTTCATGGATTGTGGGCGGGCTCTTCTTCCCACCTATTGGGACGTTCTTCCCTCGGTTCTTCCGCATGGCTTGATTTGGATTCTGGGTGTATGACCTTACTTCTGGAAGGAGATTCTCTATCACTCACGCGGATTTCACGTAAGTATCTCTGCTTACAGGTCCGCCCTCCGTTTTCGGCCCTTCACACAGGAGTATGATGAGTACGACCAGAAAACAAATCTTGTGTCGCGGCCAAAAGCTACTTTCTTCTCCGGTTAGGGAGAGTCTTTCGCTTATTAGGTCAGACACTGTTTTCTGATTATAGAAGCTTCTTTTTTCTCCGGTTAAGGAGAGAAGAACTCTTGACCTAGAAGTGAACACTTTTTTCCTTAACGGGAGAAAAAAGTAGCTCCTACTCAGTGTCTGACCTAGTAAGCGAGACTCTCCCTAACCGGAGAAGAAAGTAGCTTTTGGCCGCGACATTTTATGGCGTTTTCCAAAGCTTAGAACCTGCGTACTTCTAAGGCGTTAAGCCAAATAGCAATCAGTCGAAATCTGATTGCAAAGAATCGCAAGTAGGCGGTTCAAGTGGGCCGTTGCGCCGAAACGCGAACTCTGACAAAGGTCAGATAGTTTGAACTTTTGGGCTTGTTATAAGCCGTTGCGCCAAAGTGTCAATCTGACAAAGGTCAGATAGTTTGTACTTTTGGGCTTGTTATAAGCCAAGTGGGCCATTGCGCCAAAGTGTCAATCTGACAAAGGTCAGATAGTTCGAACTTTTGGGCTTGTTATAAGCCAAGTGGGCCATTGCGCCAAAGTGTCAATCTGACAAATGTCAGATAGTTTGTACTTTTGGGCTTGTTATAAGCCAAGTGGGCCGTTGCGCCAAAGTGTCAATCTGACAAATGTCAGATAGCTCGAACTTTTGGGCTTGTTAAAGCCGAGTGTCAATCTGACAAAGGTCAGATAGTTCGAACTTTTGGGCTTGTTATAAGCCAAGTGGGCCATTGCGCCAAAGTGTAAATCTAACAAAGGTCAGATAGCTCGAACTTTTAGGCTTGTTAAAGCCGAGTGGGCCGTTGCGCCAAAGTGTCAATCTGACAAATGTCAGATAGCTCGAACTTTTGGGCTTGTTAAAGCCGAGTGTCGATCTGACAAATGTCAGATAGTTTGAACTTTTGGGCTTGTTATAAGCCAAGTGAGTCTGTGTGCCGGATTAGATAATCTGATAAAAATCAGATAACTCGAAGTTTTGGGCTCATGAAAATAATAAGTGTTAGGACCATCGATACTTCACCAGCGAGAACAAGTCGGCACATTATGATTATGAATGATGTCTTGGAGGAAATAAATGAACTAGTCGAATATTTTAGAGAGATCGACGTTCAAGTGGCTCAAGGGACCATTTCCAAAAGGAGAATACTGTGTCACAAAGACTTTTCCAGTGATCTTGTGACGTGGTACTGCAAAAGAAAAGTTGTTCCGGCAGCATATAAGCAAATTTATACTACACTACGCTACAAGGAATTAAACTAAGTGAGCAGCTTACCAAGAAGAAGATAGCTAGTCGTAATAAAAGCGACCAGAAGAGAGCAAGCATCATCATAATTACCATCGTAGCTGCATCAGAATCCAGCTTTCCCCGGCCGGTGGCCAATATATCACCAAAGCTATACGCCAACCCAGAAGATCATCACATCAGGCGTGAGCAAAAAAAAAAAGTTCGTAGGTTACTCCAGATTCTTCTCATTTTTTAATCCGAAAGAACTTTCGGCCTAGAAGCAACAATCAATACGAAACTAACGATTTTAAATTGGCTCACTACTCGACTAGCCTATTGGTCCCAAGCAAACGATTGACATACCCCATTCTAGTCGAAATTCTAGTACTACGCAATGTTTGTTTTGATTCGCTATGAAAGTTTGACAGATAAAATGAGGGGTTAGTGGATTTTCCTATGTTTCGAGGGGTGATTCGATTAGCTTGAGACCGAAAAGAGTAGTAGAGCTGAGCCAAAAAGATGAGCACGTTTCTTCGGGACCTTCTAGTCTTAGAGTTACCTCTATGCTAGAAGTGAAAACTTCTTTCCTTAACCGGAGAAAAAAGTAGCTCCTAGAATCAAAAAACAGTGTCTGACCTAGTAAGCGAAAGACTCTCCCTAACCGGAAAAGAAAGAAGCTTTTGGCCGCGATATTTTTTGGTGGCTCCAGAGACAAATCTTGGAGGATGTTTTCCAACGCTTAGAACCCACGTACTTTCAGTCAGTCGAAATCTTACTGTAAAGAACTGCAAGTTGGCAGTACCAGTGTGCAAAGACAACAAATCAAGAAGACTGGCAACTCTTCCATTTTCTCATGCAAACGCTATGAGACAGGTACAATCAACAATCAATACGAAACTAACGATTTTAAATTGGCTCACTACTTGACTAGCCTATTGGTCCCAAGCAAATCGATTAACGTATCCCATTCTAGTTGAAATTCTGGTACTACACTATGTTTGTTTTGATTATCTATGAAAGTTTGACAGATAAAATGAGGGGTTCGTGGATTTTCCCATGTTTCGAGGGGTGCATCGATTAGCTTGGGACCGAAGATAGTACCAGAGCTGAGCTAAAAAATTGAGCACGTTTCTTCGGGACCTACTAGTCTTAGAGTTACCTCTATGGTACAATCGCGTCATCTGCCGCTCAAAGGTAAATGCTTCGAACGAATTTGATAGCAAAGATTACATCCTCAGAAGAAAGGTTTGTGTATTTGCTCATTTTTCTAAGCGTTGCTTCCACCTTCACTCAAGCGCAGCGCTATTGTATCTGTCGCTTGGATTCTGGCAAAGTTGCCAGTCTTCTTGATAAGATGTCCCCTTATTCTGCACCGCGAGTGAGGTAAGGTGACTCGCTGTCACTAGTGAGGTGACAATAGTCACCGCGAGTGAGGTGATTCTCCATTTTATTTGCGCCTCACCTTACTCGCAGGCGCAGTGAATAGGCATCATTAACATGAATTCAACCAGTGAACAAACGTGCGAAGGGAGGCACTAAAGAAATCAGATCATTCAACATTTGAGCCATCAATTGCCATAAATCGCATAAACATGTTCTGACTGGGATCAAATAATGTGAGGCTTGTTGCTTCGGCTGGCATATTTCTGTTGTACAAATTTACTTTAAAATTTGAAAACACTTCTAAATAAATTCGAGAATTTACGTTTCATTTATCGTCAATTAACAAGAAGCTGCTAAACGGAGTTTCACGACTGTTCGAATGAGAATGCGTTCCCAGTGTAATTCTAAAACAAACGTTCGAATGAATGATGTTTCAAATAATCATCCATCGTCTGCTGCAAAGCATCCATCACGGAAATCCATTACAATAGGCAAGCTTTGTTGATAAGAGTCTCAAACGTAGTCCAAACATTCAACGGTTCCTAAAAACCGTTACATTTTTTTTGTTAAATCGTGCTACCATCCTTCATCGTCAAACAAAAAAATAGAAAACATTTACGCCTAGCGTAACCGTGTGATAAGGCAACAAACTGACAAGTCATGCCCGAAGCTCTCAATATCAAATGGTTCGATTCGAAAAATCGTAAGACTGTCGTTGACTTACGCTAACTGGAAGAGTAAACAAACTAATCTAAATATAAGCATTTCCGAGCGAGAAGCGACGGCAGACGAAATCCGTTACGTTTGTGAGATTTACAACAACCGAAGGGTGTCCAACACACTTGTAAAAGGTGGTAATTAATTCCCCAACCTTGGCTGATGATGTTCGCCGACACTTAGAATCACATTCTCGATCCTTCTCGTCGTCCGTGATCAGAATATCAAATAGGCCTGAGCAAGCAATTTATTGTTTTTCTTCGTTACAAAACGGTCGTTTACGCGCGCGCACACGTCAAGGTTGCGTCCGTCAAAGTGTCTATTTTTAACTCCCAAAAAAAAAATGACAGCTGTCAACGACTTACCTGTGAAATAGCGACCAAATCCTCGGTGTCGATCTGCGGCAGGTTCAGCTGTTGCACCGCCAGATGGAACGAGCTGACCGAGATGCAGGCCATGTGCTTCGGACGGACCTTCATCTTGGTCAGGAAGCGGTCGACCAAGTTAATGGCCGCGAACAGGACATCGTTCGGCAGTTCGTACCAGACCTTAAGGCAGCGCAGCACGTGGGCTGCACCATCACGTGTACCGATGGTGATTTCGCCATTCTATTGGTTTGTCATCATTAGCGAGGAGAGAGAGAAAAGAAATGTCATTAATCACCACTGGAAAGTGTTTGTAAACAAAAGATGGCACTCGGTGCCAAAAACTTTCGAATCATGCAAAGGAGGTCAGATGGCATCAGGGATGGGAATGAAAAGCGTATGTTATTTAATCTTGCGCGAAAAAATGAGCACAATTTCAGGGCGGGAATCGTTGTCATACGAATAAGCAAAACTGCTACTGGCAAAAGCGACGGAAGCGTCGTTTATGCGCATCTTACATGTGTTTATTTTGCTCTTGGCGTCGATCCAAGCAACCGCGAAGGCGAAACAATAAACTCGCAGGTTTACGCCATCGCCTACTATACTCGAAGTCGTCAAACCAGTACATATTTCCCCCCAACGAACGGGGGATCGCGCGGAGGGTCGAGGGGCATGCAGAGACGCACGGCAGCGGCAGTGGCAACGACGGCTACAGCCGAGAGGTATTTGAGTAGTATTTTTGACATTGAATTTCAAAATTTCATTAAAACGCGCTGCCACTGACCATACACAGCCTTACACGCGTTACTGGTGTGTACTCATGTAAGTGTGCGAAAATTCCTTCGACTGCGATGAGTTTTTCATATTTTGTTATTTTGATAACATCTTAATTTTTTTTTGGTCTCAGAGAAGCTACTAGAAGAGGCTGCCGGAGGAGACCCACGGGCAAGCAACAAACAACATCACACACAAAAATGAATGTATAAACAGATGTGAAGTAAATAAGTATCGCCAAACGGACGCGTCGAGCTACTACATTTTTGGCGTTCGTTGGACTGTTCGAGTGCACACATATGGCACAACAGGCAGCGAGCGGCTGACGTTCAAGGATGGATAAAGCTGAAAACGAAGACCCCCGCATAACGAACAACAAAGAGATGGAGAGGAGCCTCTGCCACCAAGCTGATTGCGGTGGAGTATAATGAGGGATAGTGAAAGTAGCAGCTATGCGCGCTCGCTGAGGAAATGACTGGCTGTCGGAGGCACTCATTATACAATTCAATGGAAGGAAAATATGATTCCAATTCCAAAAATTATGGTGCGTGAATGTTAATTCCTATCCAACCCATTCGGAAATGGCCTAAGATGGATTTGAAAACACTTATTTTAAAATCCATGTTTCCAGAAACTGATCCAATACGGCTTTTTGACAAAAGACACGACAACAGCTGCAATGGCCGTTGTATACCCGGTTGTTCCAGCTGGCTGCACTCGTCACACGGCCCGGCTCGGCTCGCTTGGGATGCAGACAAGCGTGACAATAAACGTCACTGTTTATGCACAAATACATCAAGAGATAGAGCGAAACTATTAGAATCCGGAGACACACGGAGGGGAAACACAACAAGGTAGCGTGATCTCATTCGTATGTAAATTGTTCCTCCACTCTGCGCCCATTATCCATTGTGCCGTCGAACCGAACAGGGGAAAAAAAATGTCCAATCCGAAACAAAAGGGTGCATAACAACGCGTGTAGCGAAATTGCACTGCCACCGCTTGTGTGTGTACGCGCGTTTCTATTGTTTAGGAGAGCGAGTAGCAATGCTTTAATTACAAACTCAAAGTGCTCACTGTGTTCCACAGTAAACAGTGATTGCTTTGATGAGCTCAAAAAAGCAACGGTATTGACGCGGATCCAAGTATGTGGGCATACAGTTTGCACAATTTAAATACAATGCCCACCCAGCCTACTGTCTGTGCTGCTGACCACACGGGCAGTGCGCTGAAAAGAGGGTCATTCAACTTGAGAAGCCTCTCGTTTAGGTATATTTTGATAAGCTGTGTTTACCCGTACCCAGCTAGTTCAAAACACCTCAACCCTTGAAAAAAGGCAATGATGATGATCATGATGACTATCAAAAAAAAACATCGCGGCTCGCGTTCCACCCCGCCTCGTTTTTTTTTCACGAAGAAGTGAGGTGAGGACTATTTTTAAAATATGACCGTTTCTTTGTTTATTATCATTTTGAAAAAGCCGAGCCATCAAGACGACGACGGGCCAAGCGTCACACTTGAGACAGGGTTTCAGTGTGATAAGCTTATTTTCTTTTTTGCTCGGAAAGCCAACCACGGGATAAGGAAAATAAACAACTCGCTTGCTCGGATCGCCAGTTGAAGCGAGTGAAAAACAAAAATATTGATTGGCGGTATCTAGTAGGCATTGGCCTACAAGGAGCAGATTACCTCGCAGGAATTACGGAAAAGGGCCTCACGACAATGATAATCGACAACGATGGGGAGGGTAATGACAGCTCTACTGACATTGTTGTGTTTATGGATTTATTTTTTTCTGACAGAAGGAGGGTGCCCGCGTACAATCATTCCATTAATTGGACTATTAACCGATTTCAGCAGAATCGGGGAACTAAACGAAATATGCCATGGATTTCAACCGCACACGGTTCTCGACTTTAGACTCTGGCTGGGCATGAAGTGATCGTTCTAAAAATATATTCTTGGTCGTTCGATATCGACCAACACACACGATCTCGTCATCATGGCCGTCGAAGAGTGGAGCAAAAAAATAAAATAAAGCGTGTGTATCAGAACCCACCGAGAGCAGAGTTGAAGGTTGGTTTAGTGTGGACTCCACGCTAATCTCTTGTTCCTTCTACCAGCAAGCAGTTCCAGTTTCAGCAAACTCAAGGCTTGTATGTGTGTGGGAAGGAGCTGCTAAAATCAGGTTCCACACAAGGAGCGCTCTCCGTCAGGGCATAATTGAAGCGGAGCGAATAACTAATAGAGGGAGACGGATTGCAGCGACCCTCGCGTGAAGCCTGACGGCTTGACATTGATTGCTTGCCTGCTTTGAAGGGGGAACAAGCACTACATTGGTAGGTATTGATGCATCCTCACTTCCCCATTATGATGGGTGTACGTGACAGAAGAGGTGTTTTGTTCAGGTGGGATGGGTTAGCAACAAGAAACAAGGAAAGATGGCGAACGAGTTACACGTCATCCAGCTGGCATGTGACGATAGGGTGGACCTTGATTTGGGGAATCGTCACGTGCTATGGTGAATTCCATTACAGGAATTGAAGCAACGCAGTTCGTTTCACGAACACAGACATCACAAATAAGGTGTGTAAAGCATTTCCAAATGAAATTACATCGAATGAGAGATTTTACATTTTATTTTCCAAGGCGACTTATTTAATGAAACGTTAAATTTAGTTGGACCATAGAGGTAACTCTAAGACTAGAAGGTCCCGAAATAACGTGCTCAACTTTTTGGCTCAGCTCTGGTACTCTCTTCGGTCCCAAGCTAATCGATTCACCCCTCGAAACATAGGAAAAACCAATAACCCCTCATTTTATCTGTCAAACTTTCAAAGCGAATCAAAACAAACATTGCGTAGTACTAGAATTTCAACTAGAATGGGGTGCGTTAATCGTTTGCTTGGGACCAATAGGCTAGTCAAGTAGTGAGCCAATTTAAAATCGTTAGTTTCGTATTGATTGTTGGTTGGACTGTCTTCAACAGAGGCTAATCTGATGATCACGAGGGGTGCGACACATCTAAGGGCCTTATTACGGGTGTCACTACACGGTGATAAGGAAGTGATACTCATAATAAGAGCCGTGATTGCCGTACAAATCAAATGGAAATCACTTCACCGTGACGACAAGTGACAAGCCCCCTTATTCTGCGAGTCACGTGACTCTCTCTCACCGGTGAGGTGACAATAGTCACCTCGTGTGAGGTGACTCTCCATTTGATTTGCATGGAGAGTCACCTCACACGAGGTGACAATTGTCACCTCACCGGTGAGAGAGAGTCACGTGACTCGCAGAATAAGGGGGAAGTTTTCACCGTGAAGTGACATCCGTAATAAGCCCCTAAATCTCGATTTTAAATGGTCGAAAAATATCACACTAGCGAATCAATCTACGAAAAATCTTTTTTCATCTCTTGCATCTAAACCCATCTACTCGCATCACTCTCCACCTTTTTGCAGGAAATCTTAAAATTCGTAATCAATCGTGTTTCTATCTTTTAAGCGGAAGTGCATATCACAACAGCAAAGCAAAAAAAATCCTGCATCTTAGATAGAGTCGCTCCCCTCGGATGATCATTTGAATGAGAGACTGTTGAAGATGTAGACAAATGCCGTTTGAAGTTCGATTTTTGTCTAATTCTGCTGACTTTGGGACGCATCTATAGAAGAATTCTGAATGTTGTGAACGTTGAATGAAGCTTGACTATTTTCGAAGAAGACTAACGTCCAGATTACTTTTTTCTCGATGAATGCAGTCTGAAGTTCAATTATCGAATGAAAGATCATAAGACTGTCGGTTGATGAATGTTTTAATTCTGTAAGTGACTGTTTTCGACCAATACTAATTACAGGGCTGGTAGCGATCACTGCTGTGAGAAATAGTGATTTTAGTGACCATGTAATCTGCATTCAAATTCCATGAACAGTTTTAAAGACTCGAGGAATTTTATTATAATTTCTAAGGACCTCATTCCAAGGGAGCTCTGGAAGAAAAAAAATCATTCAGAATAATATCAAATGTAATCGGCTTTCGAGGTAGTTCTGAGGAAATTTAAGATTTCATATGAAGCCTTAGTTTTGAGTAGAATTACAAGAAATCTTAGGAATTTCTGAGGAGCACAACTCTTGTGAACTTCATCGGAGAATTTCAAGGGCATTCTGAGTATAATTTCATAAAGTTTATGGGAAAAAAAATGAATACGGAGCACAAGTCCTTGGATTTTTTTGAAAATACTAAAAGGAATATTACAATTAAATGTGAGAATAGCTCCAGAACATCTTAAAAGGAATTCGGAAAATAAATTCAGAAGAGTTTGCCAAACAAATTATGAGAAGAGATCTAAGGAATTTCGGAGGAGAAATGCCAATGAATTGTTAGGAGACTTTCAATGTAAGTAGAATTCCAAGGGAAGGAGTGAGATTCAACAAGAAATCTGGAATGAATTCAATGAATACTCGGAGAAT